ATAGAGTTTCCAAAGTTACTGCGCTCAGTGTGTCGAGGTGCCTGTCCGAGATTGAGAACAATGCGTGCGCCATGCCACATTGGGCTTTAAAAGAGGCCGTTGAGCAGTTGGACCGTCGCCAGTCTCTGGTTACGTTACTGTTAACGCCACGGCTGCCGAGGCAATCTAAGTTCCAGGCTGATAGACCGCCAAAGTAACTGAGTAATTCTATCTGCTCCAACTGACCTGCAGCTACGGCTAATTCAAGAGCCTTTTGTTGGGTCAAGGACAAAACACGAGAAGGATCGGCACTAGAATGAAGGCAGTGAAGTGTTCCAATTAGATCGGAGGTCTGCACTAAATTACATAACTCTTTTTCAAAAGAGGAGTCGCAAAGCTGAGAAGGATTCTCCTCGTCTAGCTGACTCTTAAAAAAGTTGAAGTCGAAGAAGAGTTTTTCAACGTACTTAGCTTGAATATAATTTTCGCGCTGTTCCACGTCTGCCTCAGGCGTTGGCTTCCTCAGAGGCGATAAGAGCGTGGTTTGGCGGTTGCGGCTAATGCTAGTATCATTAATGTCGGAAGAGATAGATGCAGAAGATGTCTTAATAAGATGATGCTCCCAAAATTGGTTGACAGCGGCATTTCCCAATCGAAGCAGAAGATCACGACGAGCTCTAGATTGCCAGACTTTGAGGTCCATGCTGAGGCTATCAGTACGCCGAATCTTTCTATGGACGCCAGAGCAGGCAGAACATACTATAACACCATACATTAGAGCTACCCAATCTGGAGGAGGAGCAGTTGCATTACAGTCGGCGCAAGCCTGATTTCCAGGAATTGTCCGGAGTCGTAAAATGAAATCTTGAAAGGAACCATTATTTCCTGTCTCGATGGCTTTACTGGTTTGATCTTCTATATGATTGAGATTAGCGCTACTGGAAGTTACAACGGTTGAATCGCCAGAAATAGCATCGAAAATACTGTCTGGCTGATTTGTAATACTATATAATCTGGCTGTCTCAAGAGCATGCAAGAATGCATCACATCGGATATCCGACTCAAAGCTGAGCTGATAAATCCGATTTGGCAGAATGAGTTGAGCAGAAGAGGCCGCTTTGCGTTCTGAGTGAATTAACTGATGAAGTGAATAAGGCTTATATATAGAGTAAATATTAATGAAAATGACAAGAAAATTGGTAGGTTATTAATATATCCGGCAAAATAGGTGCGAAATTCCAGCTGGCATATCAGAATACGAAAAGTAATATGGTTAAAATGGGTGGCGAGTCCCAAGAAATACAATTAGCTGACAGATTGGAGACTTAGGAAAAAGCCTGATGAAAAATGCAGATGATTTCTGAAATCCCTCAGTCTATGGCAATATAACATTTAGTTGATTTAAAAAATGATGAAGATATGAAAATATGAGCAGACTAAATTGCTCGAATAGGAACCAGTCACTTAAAGTAGTGTAAGATGAT